ATATAAAACCATATTATAAGTATTATCCAACTGTTACTGAGTGGGGGCAGTACCCAGTCTTCCACTTGTAAATATATACCGCCCCTGCCCGGAATACAAGCCTTTCCTCAGCCTATACAAGGTAGCGGATACAGTAATTGGGAGATAGCCCTGGTATCCACTAACCATACTCACGCGACCAAGGAATGTTTGTACCACGGCGACGGGATCTGCATGTACAAGTATATGCTGGGAAGTGCTCTGAGCAGGGTCATAGTTAAAGTTGTCCTACATGGTAAGAGGACCCTATGACCATCATATGACACGCGAGGTCCTCATTCGAAGGGTTCATGATATCCACAAGAATCCCCTTATTACTACAGGCCCGCCCGCCCCCAGTCTCACAAGAAGAGGCCCCTGGACAAAGAGCCCGGGCTCTGTAGACTGATGCGCCCGGCTTCGATCAAGCTGACCTTTGGGGAGTTTCGTCTTCACGGCGCATGTGCGGGGGCTTCCCTCTGGGGGGTCCCCATCAAAAGCGCTGTAGCATTTTGGGGTCTTCAGGTAACCAACCAAAGGCTGCTTCTACCTCTTCTCAAGAACGCGAAAACCAAACCTTCCGTTACGACAGCCAGTTTTCAGGGACCTTGGTGATGCACATACTCACCAATTATGTACCTTGAAGTGTTCTCTGAGTTTCGCTTCATGCGGATAGCTGAGGAACTGGCGCTTAGGTGAAACTGTGGGAGTTGTAACTCTTTCTACACCTTGGCCGCGGCCTCTTGGTAAGGGTTGACTCATCTAAGAGCCATGTTGAATGTTATCAGCAAGGATTCCTTCAGGGTGCACAGTTAGTTAGTTGGTAACTTTACAACCACGAATTTGCGTTGTGGTTGTCAAGGCCCTATAATAGGAATGAGGCGACCCTAAACCCTGACCAGTAAACTCTATTTGAGACGTGGCCACGACGAAGTGACGGCTGCCGGGCGCCAGCAGCAAGAGCCCAAGTACCACAGGCCACGGCAGCAAAGCGCCCCGGTAGCCTCAATGTTCATCGAGTTTACGTAGGGTTGGGGTGTAGGGCTCCTGGCTTGATACGGTTCAAGTTGGTGGTGGGCTGGGTGCTCACTGTCATCTAGAGAAGCATGCATAGCCTGGGCAGCATGTCTGCTGTCTTCAACAGGAACCTTGCAGGCACGGCACACCCCGTCTTGGGGCCAGGTTGGGTTCAGCATGGTGCTGTGTTGTCAAGACGCTACTGCTGAGAGGTGCAAAAAGCTAACCGTCGGCATTTCAGACGGAATGTAGCAGCACTGATGAGAGCAGCCCGCTTGCCTAGCTAGGTTCGCATGTCAGAAAATGTCAACTGGCCCTGTATCGCGAACCTTAGACTCTACACCTCCCCAACTTGTAAATTCAAATCTTACTCCTCGATGTACAAAGCCGGGTCCCAAATTCTCTCTCAAGTAGCCGCTGCGACGCGAGACAAAGAAGGAGACTAGGACGCCTGCGAGGAGACCACCCAAGTGTGCTTCATTGGCCACTCCGGGGAGGATGGCACCCATAACCTGGGTAGTGTGCCCCAGGGGGAAGTTGTGGAGAGTATTCTGGGGAAGTTGTGGCAAGGTTGCCTATGAGCTCTGCACCTTGCACATGAAAACTAGCCACAGACCTCTACATCTGGCTCGTGGTGGAAGCGCGGGGAATCCTTTCTGGGAATGCGAAGACCCTGTAAAGTAAAGGCATGATCCCAGGTCCTTTGTTGAGCAGAGTAGCAAGCATGCCAAACACGGACCGTAGCAGTGCCTTGAACTCTCGCACCCTCCGGTTGCGAAGCAAGGACACCAGTTCGAAGCCCATTAGACCACAAAGACCACCAGAGGCTCCAACGGCATAGCGAGCTGTGCCATATTGCCTAGATAGCTCTCTTGAGGTGGATGAAGAAGCCTAAGCCTAAGCAGAAGCCAGCACGATGTCGGTTTAAACCGAAAATATGTAACAAGGCTTCTTAAGCAGATTCCACGTAGATACAGAAATGCCCAATTCCCGGCAATTCCGGACAGTAGGAAGGTGGTGAGGAAGGCACCTCGGCAGCCAACCTCTAAAGGAGCCAGGGTATAGAGGAAGCCCAAGTTGAAGAGGATGTGGAACACCTCAACTTCTCTTGCTTCTTACACCGACAACTCTGTACACACATAGATATCATCATAAAGGCATGTATAATCGCATAGTTACTTGGAAATGAGGAAGTAATGGTGCAAAAGTTGTTTTTTCTTTTATAGTCCCCCTTAAGTAGATAGAATAGGGCTTTGGGTATATTATAATAAGATCACTATATACCCCATATT